AAGAGGTCGCTTACAGTTTGTCTTCTTCCTGTTTCCACATCTTTTAAAACCAGGCTTTTATTGTGAAGGGTTCAGCAGCATCGTGTTTGTGCCATGTGGAGGTCTTTCACCCTCCCTCTCTCTCCCCCATCCTCCCTCTCTTTTCTTTCCTGAAAAACAAACTTTTAGGAATCTTCTGTTCTTCATCTCCGACCCTCACAGATCCAGACGAGTCCCGTTAACAGAACAAGTCCACGTCAGAATCTTCAGAGCAGCAGCTGATCCCAGATCAGATGAAAGAATGGGATTCCTCATGAGCTCCCTGAACGAGTCCACTCAGCTTTTTCTCCTTCTTCACTCACTCTTTGTCTTTTAATCCAACATCACTTTGTCTGAGCAGGCAGACAGAGAGAGAGACACGAAGAGACAGAGACAGACAGATGGACATGTCTCTCTCTCTCTGTCTCTCTTTCGGCTGCTTCAGGCTTTTGTGTGAAAATCTAATTTGAGCTTCAGACCAACACGACTCCTCCTCCTGTGTGCAGACATCTGATCCCAGACCAGCCCCCCCACATCTGTTTCTCATTTTCTGCTTCCTCGTTTGTTTTTTTATGCTGAAATTCGAAGCAGAAGAAAGATTCCAGAAGTTTTTATTTTTATAATTTCCACTCTTTCACTCTTTTGTCCATGAGATGTTGACTTGTCCTGTAGAGGGCTCCACCTGCCTGCAGGTTTCACACAGTGTGAACTTCCTGAGATGTGTCATGTGACTCCATCTTAACAATGAGAAAACTCTGTCAACTGTGACCAGAACGAGTTTTATCCAAAATGACGAACTGTCCCCAATCATTGTTTGTTTTTAACTGCATTTCCCATTAGGCTTCGTTTCGCCCTGTAACTTTTGTTTGTTTGTTTCGTGTTATAAACAATCGTCTCTTGTTTAAAACTTTACTTTATTGACAAACTGTTAAAAACATCATAGGTTGACTCAATGACGCCGAAGAGAAATTCAGCAAATTTCCGATCGTCGGCTCCTCAGGCTGTAACGAGGCTGAGCGTCATGAGGAAACAAAGCATAGGTCAGAGGTCAGAGGTCATGCAGGAGACGTCTGTTTTGGTTTCAGTCATAATCCTCTACTACAACTGTCAGATCATCAATAATCACATCTGATCTACCTGTTTGTCCTCCACCAGGATGCTGTACACCAGAGGGGAGGGGGGGGGTTGGCGACGCCTCCGGGCTGGACTCACTGAGGCATTGTGGGTAGTGTACGGCAGCATGGAAACAGTTGTCCTCTGACCTGTCACAATTAAATGTGGCCAAATGTATGTGGACATCAACTGTTGTGAACCAGCAGAGGGCGCTCTAACATCCCCTTCACCTGTCACTGCTCCAATGATTTATGGATAAATTGAACTGATCGTTTAAAATGGAGACTATTGACCAGGTGATGAACAGATTTTACATATTGTACTTCATCATTATATCGAAATATTTCCCAGTTTTTGTTTCACATAAAATGTTTTTTTGTAGATATTGTGTGTTTGCCTGTGTGTGCGTTTTGTCAATCTTTCTTCCGGCTCTTAACGGGAGTCTGCATCTTTGACGCTTCCCCAACTGTGAGCTGCGACAGAGGACAAACGGTTCACACTTCAGGTACTGACCTGAGTGTGAGAGGAGTGTGTTCGCAGAGTTGTCCTCGTCCTCATGATGGCTCAGACTGAGGTCGGAGAAATCGTCTTCATCTCGCCTGTCCTCTTCTTCACGACACTTTGGCCGGTTCTCATCCATCACTGTTGTTGTCCTCGTCTCCCCGAGACGCTCTGCACACAGACAGACAAGCTGCAATATCTTTTCACTCCACCAAAGGCTGCTGTGACACAGGTTCAACTTTCAGCTGCCTCATTGAGCTTCTTTTTGCGGTCTCACCTGCGCGATGTAGCGCCTCCTGTAGGCCACGCTGCGTCTCCCTGAGCTGCTGTAGCAGCTGCAAACTCTGCTGCACAGGGTCTCTGTAGCGAACACACACGTACAGCAGAACACACACTCCGACACACGCCATGAGCCGCCGCAGGACACCAACATACACACTCAGCAGCTCCTAAAGATACAGGACCGATCAGCAGCGATTACAACTTCCAACAACGGTAAAAAGCATGATGTCAGAGTGATGTCAGAGTGATGTCAGAGTTGTACTCACCATGTGTTTGTGTTCAGGATTATCAGAGCTCATCACAAACTGATAAATCTTCATCTCCAGGTAGAAGTTTAAACACACCAAACTCAACAACACCAACCTACACACACACACACACACACACACACATGAACGCACACACACACACAATAGATAATTCAGTAGTCCTCCAGCAGCGGGAGGGGTTACCTGGCTCTGGAGGAGGGGGGGTGGTTACCTGGCTGCTCAATGAGGGGACATGGTAACATAACTTGAGAAGCAGGGGGCGTGGGGAGCAGCCAGGTCTGAAGGAGGAGCATGGTTACCTGGCTCTGGAGGAGCGCTGGGTGCTGGTGAGCAGGAAGCAGGTGCAAAGAGCTGCAGCGTTGTAGCAGCACGAGCTCAGACTGTGAGTCTCCATCAACAAGAAACTCTGCAGGAAGGTAACTCTGTTAAAGAGCTCAGACAGCGCCACCTGCTGCTCCCTGGAGACACTGCTGAGCTCTGAGAAAACCGCCCGCAGGCCTGAGAGAGAGAGACACAGGTGTCTGGTTCTTCTTCTTTGTGTGATTCATCACAGGAGGATGAAGACGTCAGTGACACACTCAGGACACAAAGAGGTTCACACTTTATAAACAGTTCACTACCCAGGAAGAATTCTAGAGGAGAGTTCACTCTGGTCTTCATCAAATGTCCCTGAGACTAACTGAACCTGAGTGTGAAAGTTTACCCTGAGTGGAGTCTTGCAGGGTGACTCTCAGCTCCTCTCCATTGTTCAGGATCTCCTGCTGAGCCTGTAAGGCAGCACTCTGGGCTTCAATAAGTTCCTCAGCCATCTGCTTGGTGGACTGAAGCTGCTCAGCAACACCTGCTGAACTCTCTGTTAACCTGTGAGGAGAGAACTCATTAAATCCATAGACTTTTACTGAACAACAGCGCCCTCTGCAGCAATCATCTTGTCTAATTCTGTTCGGCTCTGTCCAAGTGATGAGGTGGTAATATATAATAAATTATCATATTTTAAGATAATTCTCATGTTGCGCACCCCCGCATATAGCAGCGATGTTACTGAACTAAACTGCTCCTGTAATAACAAAGAGTCCTGGCTGGGTTACATACAGACAACAGCTGACAGCCTGAGACAGTGTGCTGTTGATTTATATGTAAAATAATACAGCATCCAAGCTTTTCAATTTCAAGTGTCATTGATTCATTTGCACAGATGTTATTTGGATATTACAGGTTTGTCACTTTAGAAACTGCAAACAACAGCATCGGTTTATTTGAGATCTCAACAATGTTATTACAATGACATCCCTGGCAAAACTTGTTACTTCTGTTTAAATCGACAACTACTGATGATGTGTAGGGTTTTTGCGATGACTACTGATGATGTAACAGCTTCCAGAAGGGCTGTCCCAATTCGTAGGGAAAGATTTCAACCCCTGCCCTTTAAGATAACCCTTGAAAACAAGGGGTAGGGGTAAGGAGGAGTGAAATGGGGTTGGGCCTTACTGAATGACCGTCTAGTTAACTTATCTGCGTGTTAGCTTCCTGCATCTCAAGTTACCTGCGCGTTTACTGCCATTGCGTTAAGTCACCTGTACATGGTGTCCTCCGCTCGGCTCTGCCAGGCGTCAGACTGCAGGAAGTGACAGATGGCGTGAGTGTGCGTGAAGAACTCTGTGAAGGCGTTGAACGCCACCACATCCATCCCACCTGTGCAGCTGCTGACATCAGAGCCCTCAGGGCATGATGGGAAGTCCCTCCCTGAGCTGACAGAGTTTACAGTCAGGTAACATGGTTACTTAGCAGTTTAGTTCAATCTGAGATCACCATGGTAACCACTGCTTCACAGTGCAGGCGAACACACCTGAACTACACACGTGTGTTACCTGCTCAGGTGACAGTGGGCGAACCGCAGCGCTATCCACCTCTGGCTCTCTGACGTCATGTCCTTGCAGCGCGTGTCCAGGTGCTGCAGAGCACGCGCCCAGCAGTCTCCATACTTGGGTTGAGAGGCCAGACTCTGCACGCGCAGCAGCTGCATCCTCCCGCGCTCTGGGTCGGGACCGGAAGCGGAGCAGAATCCGAGCAGCAGCAGAACCACCGCGATCTCACGAGCCACCATCTTCACCTGTCTGCAGCTCAATCCGCTCAGCCAATCACAGAGCCGCTTTATCAGCTGGTCCGAGGTCACCGAGAGGTCACGTTATTGTTATTACAGATCAGACTGCACGTGACAACTTCACGTCAAACTAAATTATATTCTCACTTCCGTTTGTCTCATGTTTCACTGGTGTGTGTGTGTGTGTTGTTGTTGTTTGACGTCACCAGCAGGTGGCAGCTGTGCATCATGGGATCTGAAGTCTTCATGCAGCTTCCGGGTATCTTCACATGAACCTGTCACTGATCACGTCATGTCACATGATACGTTCAGATCTGGGTTAAATCAGTTTCTCTTGATTGGTTCTGACTTCTGTGATTAATCATGTGATAGACTGAGTTCGCTGGTTGATGTGTTATGAACAAATCTGCCTGATCGATATCTGATCAACACAGACATGACTGGATGATCAAAGATGAATGTATTAGCTGGAGCAGGTCATCTTCAGGACCAACACCTGGTCCTGGACCAGTTATTTTATTATCAGTACGTGTGACAGGTGTTTCCTCTGATAATCAATTGATTGATCAGTGAATAATTGTCTCCTGAGCAACTGGAGCTTCATCACTGATCAGTTTTCAAAGCTGCTGCCAATTAAGTGTCTGTCAATGGCCGGACGAATCGATTAGCTTTGATTGGATGTGTGTAAGAGTCACAGTGAATCAGACGACCACAGGTTAGGGACACAAATGCTTTAGTTAAAGAAAAATAAGAAAACAGGTAAAAACTAGATTTTCTACAGTTTCCACTGAAGCAGAATATTCATCCTCAACATCAGCAACTATGACGTCACCTCACGTCACGACTAAAGTCTAAGAACACAACATGGCTTCGCTGACATGGTGGCTTCTGGCAAGACGCACAAGATTATAGGCACTAAACTCTGGAACATGCAACATGGTGGCTGGTTACTGTGGTTGTGCCGGGTCGAGTCCTGTGAAGCGAGTCATACACAGCGGAGTGCCACGTATGCAGAGGGGAGGAGCCTCAGGCCAAGATAAACATCACCTGCATGATGTCATCATGAAGGTGATCGAACAAGGACTTTAAAGAACGAGGGACATTTATTTAATAAGGGTGAAGCTGCGTTCGTTAAAGTGCTGGGGATGAAGAATGGTAACAGAGTCTGTAAGTTCAGATCGGACCCAACAACTCAGAGCCTGATGGGCTGTTCTCATCTATCACCTATGACGTCATTGAGCTGCTGCTTCAGTCATCATGACTTAACGTCCTCATCTCTGATTTAAACGCCATATCGACGAGACGAGAAGCTGTAAATGAAAAACTGAAGTAGGTAACTACGACTCCCAGGGTGCATTTCACTATCCAACAGCTAATCACAGCGCTACACTGTAACCATGGTGATGTGTTTATTTCCTGTCTGATCACAACATAATAATTGACTGCGAGTCATCCAAGCTTCCGTCTCCTAATTCGTCCTGATGTTTGTGGTAGTTTTTCATGGTTTTACCAGCAGGTGGAGTCTGGAGTCATCTGAGCAGGTTTCAGTCGCAGTTTTCTAACGTCAGACTCTGAACTCAGCGATCGAACACGAGCCTTTGGAGTCGGAGGTCACAGTCCTGTTTGTGGAGGCTCAACCTCAAGGTGCACTCTGCAGGTCCGAGCTAAACGATCCTGTAGTGAGCTGCGCTTTGCATGCTGGGACAAACATTAGCTAGCAGCTAGCTGTTAGCCTTCAGCTGGAGATTGCAGAGAGGTCTCTGGGATATCAAACCACTGATTTTCCTGCTTTTAACTACACGTTTACATGAGTGTCATCGTCAATCAGGGTTATTGGTATTTCTTTCCAACCGGTCAAGGCAGATGCTTCCATACTGCATCTCTGTCTACCACTAACAACATTTGCCTCGTGGCTGAGGTGTCATCGTTTACCAGCTTTAAAGCCCTTGGAGTTTTAAATCCTGCACCGACCAATCCTGATTCACTCTCGAATCTTAACTTACAGACTCAAAGTTAGTTTTCTGGTCGATGAAGTTTTGTGAAGCTGCGTCACACCACCTTCAGGGTTTTTTCTTTAGTTTACACCAACATCACCAACATGGCCGACAGTAAAACCTCAGCGAGGTCGCCCTCTGCGTACGTGTTTCTCCAGTTGAAGGCCTGCAGAGTCTACGAGTGACATGTAGACGGTTGATTGTACAAACTGTTCCAGATGTTCAACACAAAGAAACAATAAATGAGGAGTCCATTTCCCACTCGTTCATTAAGAATACAAACTAAAATAAAGCTACTGTAAAAGTGGATTTGGTTTGATATTAAAACGCTTCCTTTGGAAACGAAAAGACCAGAACATATTCAATGAAGACCAGAAATCGGAAGAATCTCTAAACTGGAAGAACAATTCGTTTGAAATACTTGTAAAACAACGGAGGAGTACTTAATGTTGTTTTAATCAAACAACTGACTTGTCTGTGTTTGAGGCGTTGTCAGTGTCTGATCAGACAAATCAAGAATTCCTCAAGTTGCTCCAATATTTCAAACGATGATCACTAACACTGTTCAGAATGAGGTCTGTGTAATCATGAATTCAATATAAATACTCGTACATCAGACTGGCTACCTGTAGGGGGCAGTCTGGATGAGGATGGAAGAAATTACTGAACCCCCCCCTCTTGTTTATTGTGGGATTAATGGAAAACAGGGAGGAAAACAAATGTGAGATTTCAAGAAACCAGTTTAAGGTGCAAACCGTTGCCCCACATCACCTCTGAGGCTTTCAGTCAAGGACTAGTTTCAGTAAGGGACCGTCAGTCAATAGCAGGACTTTAAATAAGGGACTGTCAGTCAATAATATCAGTTTAAAGCTGTATAACAGAGACAAAACAATAAACTATCAAAATACGAAATTAAAAAAATGGTTATATTCTGGAAGCAAAGTTTCGTTCAGAGTAATGTGTTGTTAAGCGTTGGTTTTTAGTTCCAAACTACTTCCCCCTCCCCAAGGAGACTAGCGGGACACAACAGCTGCCTTTTGATTATCTATACACACACTTTTTATCGGTTTTTCCTTTTTGTTTGTTTTTCCTAGAAAAAGACACTATCTCTCCTCCGTCTGTCCAGGTCGGTTCTCTAGTCCAGAACTTTACAGTCTCCGTACGGATCTCCGATCATACGGAGCAGAAGCTGCGACAGTTCCACCAGCCCTGTGTGACGATATCCTTCAATCTGCAAACAGTGTAAAAACATTCAACCTCCATGAATCTCTTCTTCCTTCTGGTGCTGACACAGTCCACTAGTACGCTAATCAGTCAGCCTGTTCATCGGCCTGACCAATCAGCTGACTCTTTCACTGACGGCAGTCCGTGACTCTACAGTTTCCTCCCGGCTAGGGCATGGGACTGCGGACTGAGGGACAATGTCTCTGAGCTCCCTGCTCTCACCTGCTGCCTCTGGCTCTGTCTGGAGCCTGGCTCTACCATCTGACCCTGGGACAACAACAGCCCCAGCTACTCCAGGAGGTCCAGCAGTCATGGAGCTGGGAGGTCTGGAGGTGCTGTTTGACCCTCTGTCTCCTCCTAAAACCTCTCTGCTTTCTGATGTCATGGCCGGTTCCCCTCTTCCTTCTGCCCTTAAGTCTTCCATACTGACTTCTCGGCTCGTCAGCAGACTTACTCGAGCAGGCCGTGTGGTGCTCAGGTCTTGGGGCTGTTCACTCTGGTTCTGTTGAGCAGGAACCAGGTTGGTCCTGGTTAGGCTGGGAGATGGTCGCTGGGATGAGAGGTGCTGCACACGGGGTCTAGTGAGCTGAGCGTGGGACTGGGGGTTCTGCTGTGTTAGAATCTGCTGAAACTGTGGTTGTGCTTGGGACTGGGCTGGCCTAGACTGTGAGAGAAACTGTCTGGGTTGTGGTCTGTATTGAGTCTGGAGTTGGTCATGCGAAGGGTGCCTTGTCTGCAGTTGGGGCTGCTCTTGATTCCTGGGTTGCAGGTGAGATTGAAATTGGGGGGTCCTGAACTGGTGTTGAGACTGTGTTTGGGTTGAGGTCCGGGACTGGGGTTGAGACTGTGTTTGGGTTGGGGTCCTGGACTGGGGTTGAGGATGAGCTTGGGTTGGGGTTCTGGGCTGGATTTGAGGATGAGTTTGGGTTGGGGTTCTGGGCTGGATTTGAGGATGAGTTTGGGTTGGGGTTCTGG